CAATTTTGTAGCCAACCAAGGACCAAATATTAGGCCTCAAGCGAATCTACCATTAAACCAACCCGTAGGAATTCCATATGATCTCAATGTCTTGTTGAAGAATCAAATCATGGAGATAGTATATGATCAAATGGCTCTTGGGGTACGTCTTGTCATCAGTCTTACTTACACGAAGTCATACGCTGATCGAGTATATCAAGCATATCCATGGCCTAGAGGGTACAAAGTGCCAGAATTTTCATTATTCACTGGTTTAGGGGAAGTATCCATTCTAGAACACATAGGACGATTCACACTGCAGAGTAGTCAAGTAACCGATTACCATAAAATGAGGTTGTTCTCTAGTTCAATAACAGGAGTAGCATTCTCCTAGTTCATTAACTTGCCAGCAAACTCTGTTCAAACATGGCAACAATTGGAACAATTGTTTCATACTCAGTTTTACAAGACTGAATCTGAAGTTACTTTGACCGATTTGGCGAATCTACGTCAAATGCCGAATGAATGGGCATAAGGTTTCCTTCAAAGGTTCAAAATAGCAAGAAGTAAGTGTTTTGTACCTTTGCCCGAAAAGGAATTTGTCAAACAACTGTTTGGTTTTCCGTCANTTGTCATCAGTCTTACTTACACGAAGTCATACGCTGATCGAGTATATCAAGCATATCCATGGCCTAGAGGGTACAAAGTGCCAGAATTTTCATTATTCACTGGTTTAGGGGAAGTATCCATTCTAGAACACATAGGACGATTCACACTGCAGAGTAGTCAAGTAACCGATTACCATAAAATGAGGTTGTTCTCTAGTTCAATAACAGGAGTAGCATTCTCCTAGTTCATTAACTTGCCAGCAAACTCTGTTCAAACATGGCAACAATTGGAACAATTGTTTCATACTCAGTTTTACAAGACTGAATCTGAAGTTACTTTGACCGATTTGGCGAATCTACGTCAAATGCCGAATGAATGGGCATAAGGTTTCCTTCAAAGGTTCAAAATAGCAAGAAGTAAGTGTTTTGTACCTTTGCCCGAAAAGGAATTTGTCAAACAACTGTTTGGTTTTCCGTCATGTGTTACAGGATGCCATTGAATCAAGACGAATTATGTTTGAAGATAAGAAGAAGATGACAGTGGATGAGAACCCTTTCCCACAACCACTTGGAGTAAACATGGTGACAACTGGTTTTAAAAACAAGTTGCCAAAATTCAAGTTGGTCATAAATGACAGAGAGGAGGACTCGGGGCCACTCCCCAGTGTCTTCTAACGCATCCAAAGGAAGGAACTCAAGCAAGATGAAGACGTCTTATGTGCAAGATGTAATGGAGGAGTGAGTGCAAAAACAGGGAGTTCAGGAGCAGGGCATCGTCACCATCGCCCTGATTTTGTTCCAAACGCGCAGCCAGTTAGAGGGCGAGGTACGTCATTCTATAGAGGACCGCCTTTTGAGAGGCAGTTCAAGCCAACGAATAATGTGAGGACATTTTGGCCGCAACCTCGCCAACCATATGTATGACATTCATTCCAATATAATGCATGAAGGGTGACACTCTTCAATGAGATGGCTAGAACTCAACAAACGCATTTTCAACGGAA